CGTTTCAAATTGAAGATCTTGAGGGACACAGCGGCTCTACAATCGATCATCTTGAAGTCGGCTGTGCCCAACATAGTCTACACCGGGGAAACAGTCTTCATCACTGACCTCACTGCTACCACTCCATACCCTCTCGCCAGAGTCCACCTGGATTGTCCCTACGTGAACGGGGAAGTCCAAGTCGCCGTCAGGGAAAAGCCTTTTCCCATGCCTGGAGTGCAACTTCTCCTAGGCAACGACTTGGCAGAAGACCTGCAACCGACCAACCTGATCGTCATGGACAAACCCCAGGTGTGTAACTCTGTGCCAATAAATCCTATTCTCGAGTATGTTCCAGCAGAGGTTCAAGAGAGTGATGAAGTTTCTCCTCCGGTTCTCGTGACCACCCGTGCACAAGCCGCACGTCCACAGCCAGCTGACTCTACTGCTACCGCTGTCCCTCAAGACCCTCAGAAACTACCCCCGCATCTGACCAAGTTGGAGTTCCGTAAGTTGCAGAGGGAAGATCTTACTTTAACACCATTGTTTTTCCAGGCTGAGACTCAACCCGACAGTATTCCTGGGTTCTTCCTAGAGAACGACTTGCTCTACCGCAGATATAGACCCAGTAAACTGAAGGAGGAGGACGATTGGGCCAACACCGAACAACTTGTGATTCCCACCAGCCTGCGGCCCACTATTCTACACCTGGCCCATGGAGCATTCTCCCACTACGGCTTCAACAAGACTTACCATGGGATTCGTCAAGACTACTACTGGCCAGGTATGGTAAACAACGTCAAACAGTACGTAAAACAGTGTCATACATGTCAGATGGCAGGCAAACCGAACGTCTCCATTCCCAGAGCACCACTGATTCCCATACAGGTGCCTGCGGAACCTTTCCACAGACTCATAATAGACTGTGTTGGTCCTTTACCTCGGACCAGTTCAGGTAACGCCTACATCCTAACCATCCTGTGTCCTACCACCAGATTTCCCATAGCAGTTCCAGTGAAGAACATCACGGCTGCTACGGTTATCAAACATCTATTGAAGATCTTCACTCAATACGGATTTCCCAGGGAGATTCAAAGTGACTGTGGCACCAACTTCACCAGTGATCTCTTCAAAAGGACACTGGAGGAGTTCAACATCAAACAGGTATTGTCCAGCCCCTATCATCCTGCTTCACAGGGTTCTCTTGAACGTAGTCATCAGACCATCAAAGCACTCTTGAAAAAGTTTTGTAGTGAAACCTCAAAGGATTGGGATAAGCAGATTGACCTAATAATGTGTATTTTCAGAAGTCTCCCCAATGAGTCCCTAGGAGTATCTCCTTATGAGATGCTCTACGGCCGTAAGTGCCGTACTCCCCTTAAGGCTTTCAAAGACTCTCTCAGAGATGCCACCTTCAGTGAGCATCAGAATGTGCCCCAGTTTCTTCAAAACCTTCAACACATTCTAGAGAGAGTCCACCGCTTTGCCCATGATAATCTATTGAAAGCCCAGGTGAGAATGAAGACTCATTACGACCAGACCAGCAAAGTAAGAAAATTCAAGCCGGGAGACTTCGTCCTTGCCTATTTTCCTATCCCAGGTTCACCTTTACAAAACAAATTTTCAGGACCCTACTGCGTCAAAGAGTGCAGGAATAATAATAATTATGTGATAGAGACTCCAGATAGGCGGCGGAAGACCCAGCTGTGCCACGTCAACCTCCTGAAGCAATATAATGGTACTCCTCCCACTGTCTTGATTAACTATTCCACATTCACAGAACCCTACATCCACAGTGAGACCTTCCCAGCTTCTCCTCCCGAAAGCACTGACAAGGAGTCAGCGCTTTCTAATTCCGAAATCCTTAATGATCTTCCCAAATACTTTCAGGATAATCATAGTGCACCTCTCGTCAAGATCTTCAGAGAACATCAAGAGTTGTTCAGAGATGATCCCCAAGAGTGTAATGTTACCCAGCACGACATCCAACTGCTCCCCGACACCCGGCCGATTCGTCAACCCTTCTACCGAATCAGCCCGAGCAAGAAGGAAGTCATGCGTGCTGAGGTGCAATACCTCTTGGATCATGGACTGGCTACACCTTGTGAGTCCCCCTGGGCCTCACCTTGTATCTTGGTGCCCAAACCCCAAGGTAAGGTGCGGTTGTGCACTGACTATCGAAAACTGAACTCTGTCACTGTCAAGGATGCTTACCCCTTGCCAAGGATAGATGACATCCTTGATGCCATTGGTAGTGCCCAGTACTTGTCCCAAGTGGACTTGCTTAAGGGGTACTATCAAGTGTGTCTAACGGAGCGCGCTAAAGAGATATCTGCCTTCATCACTCCTTTTGGACTTTTCAGATATGAACGCCTTCCTTTCGGACTATGTAATGCCCCGGCCACCTTTCAAAGAGCTGTCAACCGTGTCATCCAGGGCTTGGATAACACATACGCCTACCTGGACGATATCGTCGTAGCCTCCAACTCCTGGAGTGAACATCTGCTCCAGCTGCGACGTCTGTTCTCCAAGCTCCTGACAGCCGGCCTCACCATCAACCTGGGCAAGTCCACTTTCGCGAAAGGTAAAGTGCGTTATCTGGGTCATGTTATTGGGAGTGGCAGCATAGCTCCGTTAGACTCACACACTCAAGCCATCCTACAGTATCCACAGCCTACCACCAGGAAGCAGCTCCTGCGCTTCCTTGGTCTTGCCTCTTACTACCGTAGGTTTGTGAGGAATTTCAGTACAGTCGCCACACCTCTAATTCTATTAACCAGTCCCAAGCAACGGTATAATTGGACCATGCAGCAAACCGTTGCTTTTGAACAACTCAAATTCCTCCTCTGTTCTAACCCCATTCTCGCCTCTCCAGATATCACCAAGCCTTTCGTCCTTCATGTCGACGCCAGTGGTACCGGCGTTGGTGGTGTCCTGATGCAACAACGAGGCGAGGAGGTTCTACCTGTCAGCTACTACAGCTACAAACTGAAACCACACCAGAGGAACTACAGCACTATTGAAAAGGAGCTACTATCCATCGTCCTGAACCTCCAACACTTCGCTCCGTACCTACAAGGCGCCAGGTCTACCACCATCTTCTCAGACCACAACCCTCTCCGCTTCCTACATCAAGCCCAATTCACCAACCAGCGTCTTCTACGATGGGCTCTGTATTTACAAGACTTCAACCTGGAGATCCGCTATATCAAGGGTTCTGACAACACCATAGCCGATGCCCTCTCCAGAGTTTATGAAGTAGAAGCGACTCCATCCATTACTCCACCACATAACGACGTACTTCTTCCAGAACCGCAGGCTTCGGGGGAGAGTTGTGACGATAATCTCCTTCAAGAGATTGAGCCTGCTCTTCCCTCCAAAATTACGTCTTCACAATTATATAAAAAGACTATGGAAGAAATGTCCAACAACGACAACAACACCAGCACCAGCAAGGCTTGCCAGGGTGAGCAGAAACGTATGCAACCAGCCACCTGTTCGAACTCCAACCACCAAACTACCCGTTGATCGCTACGGCTCCGCTGATTGGTCGCCGGTCTGGCTGCACCTGCACTCGCCCCCAATACTACCTGATGTCTGGGGTCGCCCCAACATCAGTCCTCAGAATGTTCCGTGCTTTCGTAGCCAGCACTCCTCCCAGCTAGACGTTAGCGTGTACTGAGAGAGGTGGTGGCTTTAAGCCAATATTCCAGCACCTCCCACTTAACTTTTGTATTGCACTTCTTGTTATTTTGCCTTAACGTAACTTTTCATTGTGTCATTTAAGTATTCTTATTATTTTGATTCATTGATTTTATTATACATATTTGTTTGTGCATTATTTTCATGTTTTGATTTATTTAACGTAATTAAAATTTCATTGTTAAAGTTTACTTGTGTTTTGTGTGTCTTCTCCTTACCTTACCACAGACGAAGTTCCAGTTTTTCTATTTTTTTTTATAACTATGTGACGAGGCCATACCCCTAGCCTTAAACAGCCGAACACCAACGCGTTACCGTCACAATATATGAACTTTTATATTTTTTGTTCATTGTCTTTGTTTTTGGCTCTTGGGGCTTCAAGGGCGTCCCATTGTTATCCGTTATGCATCATCATTGGGGAACACAGGGGAGGAAATTTAGGTACACTTTTGTGATGACACTTTGGTAGTGATTTTGCAGATTATGTTTGATATGAAAAACAGACACTAAGGTATACATGTGTGCATGAGCACAACAAGAGTAAGGTATACATGTGTGCATGAGCACAACAAGAGTAAGGTATACATGTGTGCATGAGAACAGCAAGAGTAAGGTATACATGTGTGCATGAGCACAACAAGAGTAAGGTATACATGTGTGCATGAGCACAACAAGAGTAAGGTGTGCATGAGCACAACAAGAGTAAGGTATACATGTGTGCATGAGCACAACAAGAGTAAGGTATACATGTGTGCATGAGCACAACAAGAGTAAGGTATACATGTGTGCATGAGCACAACAAGAGTAAGGTATACATGTGTGCATGAGAACAAGAGAAGCGTATTGCTGATATTCTGTTTACATAATATGTTCTTGGAACAACCTGGGAACAGTACACTCTCTCTCTGTCTGTGTCTCTCTGTCTCTGTCTCTCTCTCTCTCTCTCTCTCTCTCTCTCTCTCTCTCTCTCTCTCTCTCTCTCTCTCTCTCTCTCTCTCTCTCTCTCTCTCTCTCTCTCTCTCTCTCTCTCTCTCAATCAGTATGTCTCTGCCTCTCACGTTGTTTTGCTCTGAATAATGTCAATACACTTTCGATGTTAATATAATCCACACAGAAGCCATATCCAAACTTAGGATTACAACCTGCAGCTTAACCATTGATGTATCCAATACCAAAGATGGCACAGGGGGTAGGGGGGGGTAGTCTGGAAAATAATATCGTAAAGGAAACCCTACAACAGCAGTCAAACTGATTGGATGATCTACCCAATAAATACAAGGATTTGGGCTGTTTTTGCTTCACTCTCTTGAGCCAGACAGTGGTAACCAGGCCAGGACGCCCAGCCTCTGCCCCTCAGGCCGACTTCAGCAACCGATCTTCAAACTTTGCCGTCGGAGACATACTCAGAGAGGAGATTGTTTGTGAGATGGCTGCTGAGACCTTCAACGTGTCGTTGATGGAGGCCTACAAGGGTGGAGTGACGTTTGGATACCCCGAGGGCTTCACGCTGATGGAACTGATGCCTGAGGACGTGAAGCCCCTTATCCATATCCACTGGAGTAAGTTTCCTCCTGTTAACCCCATGTGGTATTATCTACTGGCCAGTATTTGTATTATCCTGGGAATTCTCTCCTTCTTGGGCAATGGTCTGGTCATTTATCTGTTCTCGTGTACGAGAAGTCTTCGTTCTCCAGCAAATATGTTCGTTGTCAATCTGGCCTTCAGTGACTTCATGATGATGTTTTCGCAGTTTCCAATGTATGTTTTGAACTGTTTTGACGGCGGCTACTGGACGCTGGGGGCACTTGCCTGCCAGCTCCATGCCTTCACTGGCTCCATCTTTGGCCTCACGTCCTTACTGACGCTGGCCGCTATTGGCTACGATCGTTACTGCGTGATCGTGAGAGCCTTCAAGGGAAACCACATGAGTTCCTTGAAGGCGTTCATAATCATCCTCTTGTGCTGGACCTACGCCATTGTCGTCTCCATCTGGCCCTTCTTCGGCTGGGGCGCCTACATCCCTGAAGGCATTCTCATCTCCTGCAGCTTCGACTACCTCACCCAGGACTGGAGTACCAAGTCCTTCGGCCTGTTCCTCTTCGTCATGTGCTACTGCATCCCCCTCACCGTCATCACCTATGTTTATTTCCAAATTGTGGTGGCCATCCGTCACCACGAAGAGGCCCTCAGGGAGCAAGCCAGGAAGATGCAAGTTGATCATCTGCGCTCCAACGTCGATGCCAGGAAGCAGAGCGCTGAAGTTCGCATCGCCAAGGTTGCCGTGGCTAATGTATTCCTGTGGGTCATCACCTGGACTCCCTATGCTTACATATGCATGATGGTAAGCATAGTCTTAATTAACAATATAGTGTTCATGCAATACTTGTTTGTTCAGAAATTAGTTACATTAGATAAGAAGTGTTGTTATATTTGTTTAATTGGACAAATAAAATAGAGGAAATATCGATAACTTGTGCTCTACATAGCCCAACCACTTGGGCTGGACGGTCGAGCAACAGACTCGCTTCATGCAGGTCGGCGTTCAATCCCCGACCGTCCACAAGTGGTTGGGCACCCATTACTTCCTTCCCTCCCGTCCCATCCCAAATCCATATCCTGACTCCCTTCCAAGTGCCATATAGTCGTAATATCTAGGCGCTCTCCCTCGATAATCGCCTTGTCACACACACACAGCTCACACTAACGTGATGCATCAAATGAACAAATCCACAAGAACCGTGACGAGGATTCGAACCTGCGTCCGGGAGCATCCCAGACACTGCCTTAATCGTTGGGCTGTTGGGCTTAATCGTTTAACCCTGTCGTAGCTCAGTCGATTAAGGCAGTGTCTGGGATGCTCCCGGACGCAGGTTCGAATCCTCGTCACGGCCCTTGTGGATTTGTTGAATCGCCTTGTGTTCAACACATCACTGCTTCCTATCCCCAGGGAATGTTTGGCGACCAAAGCAAGTTGACTCCGTTGGTATCGGCGCTGCCAGGTCTCATCTGCAAGACGGCTTCCGTCTATAACCCCATCATGTTCGCTATCTCCCACCCAAGGTTCCGCCTCGCTCTACAGGAGCTGATGCCGTGGTTCTGCATTCACGAGCCCAAGGACACCGAGTCCTGCTACAGCAAGGCCACCGACGAGGAATCGTTGCCCGAGAAGCAGTAATTAGACGCGAGGAGGCGCCGTATCTTAGGGGGGATCATCTTAGACACGGTTGATGTAGACCTTGATTCATCGTGTGAGAGGCTTGAGCAGTATGTTAGTGAGGCTGAGAGTGTTAACCTCGTCACACATTTGATATGTATCTCCTGCCTTCCCTTCCTCTCTCTCTCTCTCTCTCTCTCTCTCTCTCTCTCTCTCTCTCTCTCTCTCTCTCTCTCTCTCTCTCTCTCTCTCTCTCTCTCTCTCTCTCTCTCTCTCTCTCTCTCTCTCTCTCATTGTAGTAACTTCTTAAGTGTATGATGTTTGCCAAATTCAGAGTCCTGTAATGTGTTTAATATTCACTGAAATGTGAATAGCGGAAATTCTCGAATCATACTCAGAATCATACTCAGAATCATACTCAGAATCATACTCAGAATCATACTCAGAATCATACTCAGAATCAGAGAATATTCGTTCTTTTGTTTATAATTTGTCCATGCATTTAATATATTTAATATATAATAATATAATATTTAATATAATTTTTCCATGTTTAATAGCTGATGGAGCATGGTACTGCTTATCAGCACTTAAATGGTGCCTCCTGGTAGGCACTTTGTCCCACCAGGAGCTAAATGGTGCCACCTGGTTGGCACTTTGTCCCACCAGGAGCTAAATGGTGCCACCTGGTTGGCACTTTGTTCCACCTACACATAGATAGAACCTTTCTGAAGCTAACATACGAGTCATAAACACCACCCACCACTCAAGCAATTCTGACATATATGACTTTGCTTAAGCATTAATGTAGAAATGTAATGGTTAACTAATATGGTTAATGGTTAACTATTTACTAGGCCCTTAAAGCGACTAATTACTATCACACTTGCCCCCTAAGCAAGCTAGAGTTACTTGTGGAACAACAGTTAGACATTCCTCACAGTATGGATCTAGAACACAATAGCAAAAGAACAAATGAGTAAATTTGTACCACAGACACGACCATGCAGAAGTGTTTTACAAAGGTGGTACAAAGGGACACGGGTGTTTACAAAGTTCTAAGGAGTGACTTAGAGAACTGGAAACAAGAAATTGTGAAGAGAATGTACCACCAGCCCAGCATGGATAAGGAATGGAAATGATGACACACTCATAGTTAGGATAGCAGGACACACTGGGAGTCGAGATATGACGATGGATTTCATGAAAGGATCGAACGTCGACCCTACAAGAAGCAAGGTCGTCTCTGTATTAAATCTCCAAAATATCCCTCACACAGTGCTAACGAAGCTAAATATCAGCAACAACATTAGCTAAATAGAAAATAAACATTCTCTAAAGCATAACATCTTCTCAAAATGGTGTATAACTGATACTAAACTGAGAGCATTAACTGAACGCAGTTTATCTAAGTATATCTAATACACTCACAGGGCAGAAACGCCTCACAATACACCCCATACACAACATAAATAGTATACACATACACACACATACACACACACACACACACACACACACACACACACACACACACACACACACACACACACACACACACACACACACACACACACACACACACACACACACACACACACACATATTTCACTTATACACCTATTTACATGACAGTCTCAGACCACGGAGGAAGGATTAAGACAGAAATTTCCTTAAGTACTTTCCGTATTTAATAATACATCTTCAGAAGAATCATTGTTCATGTTAACTTTTTCGTGATTTACACACAACTATATATATATATATATATATATATATATATATATATATATATATATATAATATATATATATATATATATATATATATATATATATATATATATAGACAAAAATGTTAACTGTGCTATTCCGGACTAATAACAATTTAACAAATATTTGCTTATACTCAGAAATAAGAAAATTTGCTTATAATTATATAAGAAAATTCTTATACTGAGAATTTTCTTTAGTCCAAAACTATGCTCAGGAGTAAATTATACTTCTTGGTGTATCAGTAAGCTGTTGTGGTTGCCTTAGTAATGATTGATAAGAATTTCAACAAAACTATGCTGTCTGCCTGTATGGTGATAGATCAGCTCACCTGGTTTAACAAAGAAAAAACATAACATAATCCTGTAATTGTATTGGAGAAATAATAAAATTCGGAAAATTGGTTGATTGAAAAGTAGATTCTATTATTTTCCTGTTGCATCCCCAACTCTTTGGGTAGATTATATAGTGTAATCCCCAACTCTTTGGGTAGATTATATAGTGTAATCCCCAACTCTTTGGGTAGATTATATAGTGTAATCCCCAACTCTTTGGGTAGATTATATAGTGTAATCCCCAATTAGAACCTAATTATCAGTCTCACTGCTAATACAGTTACTTGCTCCCTGATAGTACAGGGGTTAAGGGTTCCAGGGGAGCCCCTGGACCCCAGTACCCTTGGACCCCAGTACCCCCTGGACCCCAGTACCCCTGGACCCCAGTACCCCTGATCCCCGGCCTAGTCACATGGACTCCCGGCAAGACGGATCTAACTCTAGCTATGATGAATATATATATATATATATATATATATATATATATATATATATATATATATATATATATATATATATATATATATATATATATATATATATATATATATATGAAAACAAGCCTGAATGGTCCCCAGGACTATATGCGACTGAAAACTCACACCCCAGAAGTGACTCGAACCCATACTGCCAGGAGCAACGCAACTGGTATGTACAGGGACGCCTTAATCCGCTTGACCATCACGATCGGACATAAGGAAGTGATAGCCGAGGCTATTTGAACCACTCCCCCGCCGGCACTCGGATGGTAATCTTGGGCATAGCATTTTATCAAATCACCTCATTGTTTGGGGCAACACGTGAGGAACACAAATGCAAACAAGCCTGAATGGTCCCCAGGACTATATGCGACGGAAAACTCACACCCCAGAAGTGACTCGAACCCATACTGCCAGGAGCAACGCAACTGGTATGTACAGGGACGCCTTAATCCGCTTGACCATCACGATCGGACATAAGGAAGTGATAGCCGAGGCTATTTGAACCACTCCCCCGCCGGCACTCGGATGGTAATCTTGGGCATAGCATTTTATCAAATCACCTCATTCTTTGGGGCAACACGTGAGGAACACAAATACAAACAAGCCTCACGTGTTTCTCACGTGTTGCCCCAAAGAATGAGGTGATTTGATAAAATGCTATGCCCAAGATTACCATCCGAGTGCCGGCGGGGGAGTGGTTCAAATAGCCTCGGCTATCACTTCCTAACTATCATATATATATATATATATATATATATATATATATATATATATATATATATATATATATATATATATATATATATATATATATATATATATTGCACATATATTGACTTCACAGTTGTGAAGTCCCTCTTTATGACAGAAATTGTTCATACTTACTCCCTAATATTTTTCTCGCTCTGAAATTTTTAATTGAAATTTAGTAAAAAATGCTCTAAATATAGAAAAGACCGACAAGACAGAGACAGACAGACTGAGAGAGAGAGAGAGAGAGAGGCACAGAGCAATAAAGAAAGCAGACGAGACTCTGGAAGAACTAAGGGAGGGGAATATATTCAACAGCCGCAACCCCGGGTCAATATACCACACTCGCCCTTCCTCCTGCAAGAGCAATTTGCCGCTCTTCAGCTCTAGCCGCAGGAGGACAGTAGGTTGGGCTCGGGGAGTAGAGGGGGACCTGTGGCTTACCGCCATGTTGACACATGCAAATCAGGAACTTTGACCCGGCTATTGGTGCTGGGAGAGGAACGTCTATCCTCGGAAGTAATCCGTCAAGGCACAGGTAAAAATGCCATTTTTGTCCCAAAGCAGCGCCTCGCGGAGTACGCACGCGTCGCCCTAAAATGAAACAAACTTCAACTTAGTGTCCGTCACCTTTTTCAGTAGGTGTTCACGCCCCTTTCTGGAGGAGGTGATGGGTCGATGTCGTAGCCTGAAGCGGCACGCAAGTCGTACTTCTCTTTTAGCGTTGTTTTCATTTCTCTTTATGTTATCTGTTCTCTCATGGAGGCGGCACCGTTAGGTAACCACGCTGTTACCACACCCTACCACCATCACCACCACCACACCCTACCACCATCACCACCACCACACCCTACCACTATCACCACCACCATACCCTACCACCATCACCACCACCACACCCCTACCACCATCACCACCACCATACCCTACCACCATCACCACCACCATACCCTACCACCATCACCACCACCACCACACCCTACCACCATCACCACCACCACACCCTACCACCATCACCACCACCACACCCTACCATCATCACCATCACCACACCCTACCACCATCACCACCACCACCACACCCTACCACCATCACCACCACCACCACACCCTACCACCATCACCACCACCATACCCTACCACCATCACCACCACCACCACACCCTACCACCATCACCACCACCACCACACCCTACCACCATCACCACCACCACCACCCTACCACCATCACCACCACCATACCCTACCACCATCACCATACCCTACCACCACCACCAGCATCACAAATTCTCTTGCCAATGTGGCTTAGTGCCCCCTGAAAACTAATAATAAAATCCCTTTTTAAGCACACTCTGGTAGTGGACCAAATTGGTTTAACACAGAGTCCTTCCCTGTATAGATCCTTAACCTGGCCTGGATACAACTATTTGAAGAGCTCCTCCTTCCACTCGAAGAGCTCTCCAGCACCTTTTCCCTGAATAGCTATTAGAGATAAGGCCATTAAATTATTCAGAGTTTGTCAACAGGTTTCTGGATGACCGCCGCTCTATGCAGGTACACAAAAGAGTTCCTGTTATATATAGATGGAGAGTCACAGTTATTGGCTTCTGAAAGTCGTTTTCAAACACTTGTAAATACGAGAATATTTTTGCCATCAAAATGTTGAGGAATCGCTTAGAAATTCAGTGAATAACACGAGTGAGTAATTGAGTTTGGACTCAGAGATTGTTTACTAACTATCAATGGTATCAAGTGATCTCTATTGGCTTCACATAGAGCACTGGATGCTCTCCTATAAACATGAATTGAATCAAGGGCATATGAGTGCTTTCAGATTACATGTGACGTTCTGTCAAGAGTGCTGTCGACAAGTGCGTTATAGAACATGAACTTTAGATATTCCTTACAGACTCAACATTGAAAACATCACATTCAAAAAGGCCACAAACATTCCTACTTTGAAAGTTGCAAAGTAGTAAATATTGCTTGATTAAAGCTTAAGAAAGTGTTCCCGAGAGCTTTTTTTAGTAAATGTAAAAGTTTCTCTACTTTTGGGGAATTTGCTAATAGATATTCATGTTTCCTATTCTCATCCATAATTCCTATTAACTTGCCTATTTCCTATTAGCAATCACAATTTTTCTCCTTCTACCCTGGTGAAGTCCTCTCTCTTGCTTGTAGTATCGTCAGTACCAAATCTGACCACCACAATTTCGCGGTTGTCCACCACAGCAACAAGACCATCCACCACAGCAACGAGACCGTCCACCACAGCAACGAGACCATCCACCACAGCAACGAGACCATCCACCACAGCAACGAGACCATCCACCACAGCAATGAGCTCCTCCCCATCTCATGGGGAAGGCGCTATACCCCTTTCCCTCGTGTGGTCTGGCCACCACCCCCTTACCCATGGGGAAAGGGGGAAAGGAAAGGGGTTGAAATGGAAAGTCAAAGGAGGTGGTGGGTGCAGGAATCTTGCCCCGGTGTGGAAAGGCGGGATATGGCGGAGATAAAATTCGCTGTTTGTGTTGGTGCGGGCGGCCAGTGTGAGGGGAGGAAGGGCGTAGTTGGGCCCACTTTACGACCTCGTCGGTAGCGGGTAGAGCAGCCACGCTGCCCCCGCCTACACTTCTTTGGGTCCTAGTTCGCACGAAATATTGGTGGTGTTTTTAGAGAGAGAGAGAGAGAGAGAGAGAGAACTTGCGTGCAGGAACGGGGTTTTGAGAGCTTAATCCGGTTGTGTGCGGTGGTCTCAGGGAGCTCAGATCTCTGGTGGCTCTGTTTTCACGCGCTCTCAGGGAGCTCAAAGCTCCAGGGAAGTCTACTCTTGAGCTCGCAAGGAGCTTAAAAGTCACTGCTGAGAGTTATATTTCTAAGCGCCTGAATAGGAAGTTATATATATATATATATATATATATATATATATATATATATATATATATATATATATATATATATATATATATATATATATATATATATATATATATATATATATATGTCGTACCTAGTAGCCAGAACTCACTTCTCAGCCTACTATGCAAGGCCCGATTTGCCTAATAAACCAAGTTTTACTGAATTAATATATTTTCTCTAATTTTTTTCTTATGAAATGATAAAGCTACCCATTTCATTATGTATGAGGTAAGTTTTTTTTTATTGGAGTTAAAATTAACGTAGATATATGACCGAACCTAACCAACCCTACCTAACCTAACCTAACCAATCTTTATAGGTTAGGTTAGGTAGCCGAAAACGTTAGGTTAGGTTAGGTTAGGTAGTCGAAAAAGCATTAATTCATGAAAACTAGGCTTATTAGGCAAATCGGACCTTGCATAGTAGGCTGAGAAGTGAGTTCTGGCTACTAGGTACGACATATATATAAATATATATATACATATATATATATGCGGAAAATCCACAGAGAAATATTTCTCTGTGGATTTTCCGCATAAAATGATCAGTGTTTTGTGATCGTCAATTGCACATATATATATATATATATATATATATATATATATATATATATATATATATATATATATATATATATATATATATATATATATATATATATATATATATATATATATATATATATATATATATATATATATATATATATATATATATATATATATATATATATATATATATATGTATATCTATATCTGTTTCTGCTGAGGGATTATAGATATCTGAGCTCCTGCTGGGGGCTCATAAGAGTTGAGTAATATACTTACTTAACGTTCACATAGTAACTGTTTACCAAGTTACTCTAAATCACATGATGAGATGTAATAAGTTTAGATTAATTATGTTCAAATAAATTACCAAACCATTCCAGTTGAGATCAGCGCCTGGCAGTGTTGCCACAATTTTTTGTATTTCATTTACTTATTTAATTTCTTTGGTGTTTCATGTTATACATTCTACATTTGGCTCTCTAAGGCACTGAATTGAAGATGTACATTTATATTGTCTAGAGACTGGCACCCAGAAATCACAATAGCGTGATGTATCAAATGAACAAATTCTTATACCATGTCATAGCTCAGGCGATTAAGGCAGCGTCTGGGATGCTCTGGGACGCAGGTTCGAATCCTCGTCACGGCCCTTGTGGATTTGTTCTAGAGATTGGGTGAGAGGATTTATTTCATAGCTTGGTTAGGAATAACGCCTCTGCAAGAATATTTAGGGTGCGTAGTCTACCCTTACCGACGTATGGCGGCTGAATGAGACCTTCCTGAATTAGCGTCCTTGGGCCAGATTCACGAAGCCGCTACGTAAGTACTTACGAACGTGTACATCTCTCCTCAATCTTTGGTTACATTTATTAAACAGTTTACAAGCAGGAAAACTTGCCAATCAACTGTTGTAATTGTTATAAACAGCCTGCTGGTGCTTCGGAGCTCATTAACTGTTTAATAACTGTAAACAAAGCTGCCAAAGATTGAGAAAAGGTGTACAGATTCGTAAGTGCTTGTGTAACTGCTTCGTGAATGTGGGGCCCTTGTGTGTGATGGCTAAGCACTGGTGTTCAGGTTCCCTGGGCAATAGTGACCACAAGTGGTCACTATTGGTCACTAATAGTGGCCGCGTCGTTGTGGCTCACAATCTGTAGCGAGAAGACGCCTCAATACAAACTCCTAGCTTCGTCCAGCTCCTCACAAGCAAGAGGCTTGTTGAGTGGCCCCTTTGTGCCTGTGACTGGCATCCCCTTTGGTGACACTGGCACCTGCATCACACAGGTAAACATATCTGAGTATCTCAGATATTCCTGGACGGTTATACATATCTGAGCTTCTGGCGGAGGAATATTTTTTTGCTTTCAAAATACTCTAGTTGTAGCCGACTGCCAGGGACAAAAATCGTTGTGGGGGTCAGAATGACACTGTGGCACGATGTTCTCTCATGAATTCTTGCTCTCACGGCAAGCTTATGTCCGTTCCATACCCCAGAATATTCACCCTGCAAAATTAGGAGTCGTTACACAAAGGCAAAATTGTAATTAATTTTATCAGTAAAGATGTCAATAATAATAATCAAAGTGTCTTACCTCTTTACCAAACATCTTTATTGGGACGTAATGACTTCGCCTCATCCGCCAGGGATTAATGTTGAGTCTAGTTTTAATTAGTTTTGTCCTAATGATAGACTGGGTAATTATAGCGTTTTCTTAAGGTGGTGGTTGAGAACGTCTTATGGTGGTGGTGGTAATCTAATCAAACCTGTCATAGCTTAACCAAACCTGTCATAGTCAAACCAAACCTGTCACAGCTTAACCAAACCTGTCATAGCTTAACCAAACCTGTCATAGCCCTAACCAAACCTGTCATAGCTTAACCAAACCTGTCATGGCTTAACCAAACCTGTCATAGCTTACACAAACTTGTCATAGCTTAACCAAACCTGTCATAACCCAACCTAATCTGGCATAACCAAACCTAACATACCTTAGCCTAACCGTGCCTGTAATAGCTGAACTGAACCTTACTATCTGAACCTTATTTGGTTCAGTAAGGTTCTGGACCTCACTGAACCTATATAAAGACCTATCACAATGGTCTTTATTGGTGGGCCTGGGTGCTGGCCAGGGGGTCCCACAGGTGCTGGCCACGGGGTCCCACAGGTGCTAGCCAGGGGATCCCACAGGTGCTAGCCAGGGGATCCCACAGGTGCTGGCGAGGGGGTCCCACAGGTGCTGGCGAGGGGATCCCACAGGTGCTAGCCAGGGGATCCCACAGGTGCTGGCGAGGGGGTCCCACAGGTGCTGGCGAGGGGGTCCCACAGGTGCTGGCCAGGAGGTCCCACAGGTGCTGGCCAGGGGTCCCACACTGCTGGTGCTGGCCAGGGGTCACACACTGCTGGTGCTGGCCAGGGGGTCCCACACTGCTGGTGCTGGCCAGGGGTCCCACACTGCTGGTGCTGGCCAGGGGTCCCACACTGCTGGTGCTGGCCAGGGGTCCCACACTGCTGGTGCTGGCCAGGGGTCCTACACTGCTGGTGCTGGCCAGGGGTCCCACACTGCTGGTGCTGGCCAGGGGTCCTACACTGCTGGTGCTGGCCAGGGGTCCCACACTGCTGGTGCTGGCCAGGGGTCCCACACTGCTGGTGCTGGCCAGGGGGTCCCACACTGCTGGTGCTGGCCAGGGGTCCTACACTGCTGGTGCTGGCCAGGGGTCCCACACTGCTGGTGCTGGCCAGGGGTCCCACACTGCTGGTGCTGGCCAGGGGTCCCACACTGCTGGTGCTGGCCAGGGGGTCCCACACTGCTGGTGATGGCCAGGGGTCCTACACTGCTGGTGCTGGCCAGGGGGTCCCACACTGCTAGTGCTGGCCAGGGGTCCTACACTGCTGGTGCTGGCCAGGGGGTCCCACACTGCTGGTGCTGGCCAGGGGGTCCCACACTGCTGGTGCTGGCCAGGGGGTCCCACACTGCTGGTGCTGGCCAGGGGGTCCCACACTGCTGGTGCTGGCCCGGGGTCCTACACTGCTGGTGCTGGCCAGGGGTCCCACACTGCTGGTGCTGGCCAGGGGTCCCACACTGCTGGTGCTGGCCAGGGGGTCCCACACTGCTGGTGCTGGCCAGGGGTCCTACACTGCTGGTGCTGGCCAGGGGTCCCACACTGCTGGTGCTGGCCAGGGGTCCCACACTGCTGGTGCTGGCCAGGGGTCCCACACTGCTGGTGCTGGCCAGGGGTCTCCCACACTGCTGGTGCTGGCCAGGGGTCCTACACTGCTGGTGCTGGCCAGGGGGTCCCACACTGCTGGTGCTGGCCAGGGGGTCCCACACTGCTAGTGCTGGCCAGGGGTCCTACACTGCTGGTGCTGGCCAGGGGGTCCCACACTGCTGGTGCTGGCCAGGGGGTCCCACACTGCTGGTGCTGGCCAGGGGGTCCCCACACTGCTGGTGCTGGCCAGGGGTCACACACTGATGGTGCTGGCCAGGGGGTCCCACACTGCTGGTGCTGGCCAGGGGTCCCACACTGCTGGTGCTGGCCAGGGGTCCCACACTGCTGGTGCTGGCCAGGGGTCTCACACTGCTGGTGCTGGCCAGGGGTCCTACACTGCTGGTGCTGGCCAGGGGGTCCCACACTGCTGGTGCTGGCCAGGGGTCCCACACTGCTGGTGCTGGCCAGGGGTCCCACACTGCTGGTGCTGGCCGGGGGTCCCACACTGCTGGTGCTGGCCAGGGGTCCTACACTGCTGGTGCTGGCCAGGGGTCCCACACTGCTGGTGCTGGCCAGGGGGTCCCACACTGCTGGTGCTGGCCAGGGGTCCTACACTGCTGGTGCTGGCCAGGGGTCCCACACTGCTGGTGCTGGCCAGGGGTCCCACACTGCTGGTGCTGGCCAGGGGTCCCACACTGCTGGTGCTGGCCAGGGGGTCCCACACTGCTGGTGCTGGCCAGGGGTCCTACACTGCTGGTGCTGGCCAGGGGGTCCCACACTGCTGGTGCTGGCCAGGGGGTCCCACACTGCTAGTGCTGGCCAGGGGTCCTACACTGCTGGTGCTGGCCAGGGGGTCCCACACTGCTGGGGCTGGCCAGGGGGTCCAACACTGCTGGTGCTGGCCAGGGGGTCCCACACTGATGGTGCTGGCCAGGGGTCCCACACTGATGGTGCTGGCCAGGGGGTCCCACACTGCTGGTGCTGGCCAGGGGTCCCACACTGCTGGTGCTGGCCAGGGGTCCCACACTGCTGGTGCTGGCCAGGGGTCTCACACTGCTGGTGCTGGCCAGGGGTCCTACACTGCTGGTGCTGGCCAGGGGTCCCACACTGCTGGTGCTGGCCAGGGGTCCCACACTGCTGGTGCTGGCCAGGGGGTCCCACACTGCTGGTGCTGGCCAGGGGTCCTACACTGCTGGTGCTGGCCAGGGGGTCCCACACTGCTGGTGCTGGCCAGGGGGTCCCACACTGCTAGTGCTGGCCAGGGGTCCTACACTGCTGGTGCTGGCCAGGGGGTCCCACACTGCTGGTGCTGGCCAGGGGGTCCCACACTGCTGGTGCTGGCCAGGGGGTCCCACACTGCTGGTGCTGGCCAGGGGTCCCACACTGATGGTGCTGGCCAGGGGGTCCCACACTGCTGGTGCTGGCCAGGGGTCCCACACTGCTGGTGCTGGCCAGGGGTCCCACACTGCTGGTGCTGGCCAGGGGTCTCACACTGCTGGTGCTGGCCAGGGGTCCTACACTGCTGGTGCTGGCCAGGGGGTCCCACACTGCTGGTGCTGGCCAGGGGTCCCACACTGCTGGTGCTGGGCAGGGGTCCCACACTGCTGGTGCTGGCCAGGGGTCCCACACTGCTGGTGCTGGCCAGGGGTCCTACACTGCTGGTGCTGGCCAGGGGTCCCACACTGCTGGTGCTGGCCAGGGGGTCCCACACTGCTGGTGCTGGCCAGGGGTCCCACACTGCTGGTGCTGGCCAGGGGTCCCACACTGCTGGTGCTGGCCAGGGGTCTCACACTGCTGGTGCTGGCCAGGGGGTCCCACACTGCTGGTGCTGGCCAGGGGGTCCCACAGGTGCTGGCCAGGGGTCCCACAGGTGCTGGCCAGGGGGTCCCACAGGTGCTGGCCAGGGGGTCCCACAGGTACTGGCCAGGGGTCCCACAGGTGCAGGCCAGGGGGTCCCACACTGCTGGTGCTGGCCAGGGGTCCCACAGGTGCTGGCCAGGGGGTCCCACAGGTGCTAGCCAGGGGATCCCACAGGTGCTGGCCAGGGGGTCCCACAGGTGCTGGCCAGGGGTCCCACAGGTGCTGGCCAGGGGGTCCCACAGGTGCAGGCCAGGGGGTCCCACAGGTGCTGGCCAGGGGTCCCACAGGTGCTAACCTACTCACAAAATCAACTGAACAAACTCATCAATTAACAATACCTATTAACCGTTTAGTAAACAGTTCTCCTAATATTTTGTTCTCTCTGAAGTTTAACTCCTCTCCTGTCTAAACCCTTGGCCTAGTGATAGCTTTCAGAGACTAATGTGGAAACTAAAACGAAGAAGAACAATAAACTTGAACAAAGGAGAGCAATAAAGATGCTGGAGTGGGCTAGTATATCTGAGCTGAGAAGCAGAGGTAGTTAAGACAGGTGAAAGGCCATCTTAAGAGACAAGATGGAGCCCAGGCAACACATGGTCTCGAATACACGTGTGTCTATGTGGCACTTGTAAATATATTCACTCATCATCTATTTATGTGTCTTTATCATTCACAAGCGCGCGCGCTCATACACACACACACACACACACACACGCTAACACAGATAAATTACACACACACACACACACACACACACACACACACACACACACACACACACACACACACACACACACACACACACACACACACACACACACACACACACACACCACACACACACACACACACACACACACACGCACACACACGCCCACACGCCCCCACATAAACACACGCACACATAAACACACACACACACACACCACACACACACACACACACACACACACACACACACACCACACACACACAACACACACACACACACACACACACACACACACACACACACACACACACACACACACACACACACACACACACACACACACACATATGTAGATATGATAGAGCCCAGTAGGCTTAGGAATCTGTACACCAGTTGATTGACAGTTGAGAGGCGGGACCAAAGAGCCAAAGCTCAACCCCCGTAAGCACAATTAGGTAAGTACACACATACACTAAGGGCCTAGAGATGTTA